CAAGTCCTGCTGGTCTTCTACTGGACCACAAGTCCTGCTGGTCTTCTACTGGACCACAAGTCCTGCTGGTCTTCTACTGGACCACAAGTCCTGCTGGTCTTCTTCTGGACCACAAGTCCTGCTGGTCTTCTACTGGACCACAAGTCCTGCTGGTCTTCTTCTGGACCACAAGTCCTGCTGGTCTTCTTCTGGACCAGAAGTCCTGCTGGTCTTCTTCTGGACCAGAAGTCCTGCTGGTCTTCTTCTGGACCAGGAGTCCTGCTGGTCTTCTTCTGGACCAGGAGTCCTGCTGGTCTTCTTCTGGACCAGGAGTCCTGCTGGTCTTCTTCTGGACCAGAAGTCCTGCTGGTCTTCCATGGGACCAGGAGTCCTGCTGGTCTTCCATGGGACCAGAAGTCCCGCTGGTCTTCCATGGGACCAGAAGTCCTGCTGGTCTTCCATGGGACCAGAACCAGGGCCCTTTGGACCAGACTTCCTGTTCTGTAAAATGTTTTCCATCTGGCTCCTGTAGGGGTTCTGTTCAGGTTCTGGTTCTGTTAAAAGCCTGTCTCCATGTTTGTCTCTCAGACTTGTTAGTGGACCACCTGGACCTGGACTCAGGATGGACCCGGTGAGACGGGACATGGAACTGCTCAGTAACAGCATGGCCACCTACGCTCACCTGAAAGGTCAGCGGGGTCCAACAGGAGGTTGGGGGGCCACTCAGGGCCGTGTGACCAGTGTGTGTGTTGTTGTGTTTCAGCCAATCAGGAGGGTCTGGCTCTGTACTTCATGATGGGGGTCTGCTTCGGCCTCCTCACGGCGCTCTGCCTCCTGCTGCTCAGCATGGCCTGCAGGAGCCGCCGCCTCCACAGAGCTGCTCCTCCTCCTGAGAGGAGGCAGCTGAAGGAGTCCAGCGACGAGGAGGAGGAGGATTCTGAGGAAGACGAGGTGGACCCGRTGGACCCTAAAGGGACCCGGAGGCCCCGGAGCGAGCGCAGCAGCCAGTCTAACGGCACCCTGAGGAGCGTGGACGTGTTCTCCTCCGTGGAGGAGGTGCAGAAGGCCCGCCGTCTGGAGGAGAGGGAACGCATCGTCCGCGAGATCTGGAGGAACGGCCAGCCTGATGTTCTGGTGACCGGGACCGGGACCCTCGGACGGGTCCATTACTAACTGGACCTGAAAACAACCTGAGTCCTGAAGACCAGGAGCCCCAGGGACTGCTGGTCTCTGAGGACCAGAACGGTCTGATGTTTGAATTTTATATCTTCATTAAAATCTACTGAAGACCTGAACCACTGAAGAACCAGAACCTGATCCCAGAGGTTAGTCTGGTCCACCAGATGCACTGATGTCCAACAAGACCCAAATACTGGTCTGAAGACAAGACCAGGTCTTATCTGGATTTTACAATCTGAGAAGCACCAGATTAGACCTGAAGATTCAGATTATCTGGATTTTATTATAAATTAAGATTTTTAATCCAATAAATGAAAAATAAAAACTTCAGACGAGTCGAGCTGTTTGTGGTCGGATCAGAACCAGTTTCCCACAAAGTTCTGATGTTTCTCTCTGAGTCTTTGACCTCATCACTTCCTGTTCCCAGCAC